GTCTCCTCGACACCGCTTACATGTACGCGGGCGGCGAGTCCGAACGCATCCTGGGCACGCTGCTGGCTGGCGGCACGGAGGCCGGTACGGCCGGGGGCGGGGGCGGGGGGGGCGGGGGGGGGGGGGGGGGGGGGGGAGGGTCTCTGAGGAGAGGGGCCATCCCTGAGGAGAAGGGTCTTCCCTGCCAGGCTGACGCCATCCCTGAGGAGAAGGGCGTTCCCCCGGGCCCCTTCTCTAAGGAGAAGGCATTTCTCTGCCAGGCTGACACCGTCCCTGAGGGGAAGGGCCTCCTCTCGAGCCCCTTCCCTGAGGAGAAGGGACTTCTCTGCCAGGCTGACACCATCCCTGAGGGGAAGGGCCTCCTCTCGAGCCCCTTCTCTAAGGAGAAGGCATTTTCTTGCCAGGCTGACACTGTCCCTGAGCAGAAGGGCCCCCTCTTGAGCCCCTTCCCTGAGGAGAAGGGACTTCTCTGCCAGGCTGACACCATCCCTGAGGGGAAGGGACTCCTCTCGAGTCCCTTCTTTGAGGAGAAGGGATTTCCTTGCCAGGCTGACACCGTCCCCGAGGAGAAGGGACTCCCCTGCTAGTGCTGACCCCTGGGCCTTGAGGAGAAGGGCCTCCCTCTGTAGGGCAGACCTGCAGTCCCTCAGGAGAAGGGCCTCCCCTGCTAGGCAGATGTCGAGGTGAAGGGCCTTACCTGAAACACCTTGAGCAATGCTTGCCTTATGCCCCTTATCCCCATTCCCCTCCTGAAGATGGAAATGTCCCTGCTCATTCTTTCTTTCTCTCTGCCAGTGGAAGTTGCCACCAAGGCCAATCCCTGGGATGGGAAGACGCTGAAGCCCGAGAGTGTGCGATCGCAGCTAGACACGTCCCTGGAGAGGCTGAAGAGGACAAGCGTGGAGCTCTTTTACCTCCACGCTCCTGACCATGGGACCCCGGTGGAGGAGACGCTGCGTGCCTGCAATGAGCTGCACAAAGAAGTAAAGTGGGAAGTCTAAGCCTGGACCATCTCTCGATTCCCTCCCATCACCTTTTTAAACCAGGGCTGCTTGTTGTGCCCTTCTGCAGCACCGGGTTTGTGCAACACTAGGAAGAGGGGACACAGATGACCAGGGCAAAGCCAAACAACTGACGCTCTGTTGCGGGTTCACGTGGTGCACTTTGTTCTCAAAAACTCTTGGAAACGTTAGAACATCTGAACTTTGCTTTCAGCCGTGTTAACTGACTGGGTTAAGATTAGTGCTGGTGAATGGGTGAAGAATTCCTGAATTGCATTAATCTAATAGCGCCATTTAAATTAGAAAGTGTGAATTCAAAAATGAGCAGAAAATTGGAAATGTTTTTGTCGGGTCTTATAATTCATAGTCATCTAGAAGAGGTGAACAGGGCTGAGGAAAGAACTCTGGAATAAAATTTGGCGACTGTCCTTTTCTCCGCATGCATCTTGCACCGTCTCGGTACAAATGCACTTTTAAAATCTGGAATTGAATACCCTTTTATTCCTCTGCAGGGAAAGTTTAAAGAACTTGGTCTATCAAACTACGCAGCGTGGGAGGTCGCAGAAATCTGCACCATCTGCAAATACAACAACTGGGTGATGCCCACTGTGTACCAGGTGAGGGATGGGGGCTTGCTGTGGTCCAGCAAATCTTTTGCGGAGGCCGAGATGAATCAAACCAAAAGAATACGAGGGTTCAGATCAGAACAGCATACGGATGGTTCTCTGTGTCCCTACAGTAGTGGTCAGTCACCGTGGGCAAGGGTCTGGGAGCCCCGGATCTTGGACCAGTCCCCAGATATAAACACAGAAAAGGAAGGTGCTCCAGTTAGTCTGGGAAGTCCTTTCAGGACACACGTGATTAGAAAGCTGAGTGAGGTCACTTCTCGGAAAAAGCTGAGTACGCGTTTGTTGCTCAGGTCAGTGACCCCCTTGGAGTGGAACTTAAAAGTTTTTGCGTTACTTGCAATCCTTTAGAGTCTGTTCCTAAGCAGATAATAACCTTGTGTGGCCTGAAGCCGCTCTTCTGGATAAGATAGGAGTATTGTCAGGGAAGGGTGGGGAAGAGGCTGTTCCAGGTGCTCGTGACCGCTGTCGCGAGCTACCGTTTGAAGTTCTTTGTCTCCCTCGTCTTTGTGCAGGGTATGTACAACGCGACCACTCGCCAGGTGGAAGCCGAGCTGTTCCCTTGCCTGAGATACTACGGACTGCGGTTCTACGCCTACAATCCGCTGGCAGGTACGGGGAGGGAAAGGGCGAGACTTTGAGACAAAAACGTGCGAAATGGGGGCTGTGGAAGAGCCAGCCCATCGCTAAACGTGCTGCTGCCCCTTTGCAGGAGGGCTGCTGACCGGCAAGTACAAGTATGAGGACAAAGACACACGCCAGCCCACTGGAAGGTTTTTTGGGAATGATTGGGCTCAAGCCTACAGGGACAGGTACGTTTTGAGCTGATAGACGAGCAGGGGGGTGTGGGAGGAGCAGCTACATAAAAAAACCCACACTAATAATCAGCTGAGAGGAAGCGGAATTGACCAAAGCTTGGGCAGTGACTACGTCTGCACATGTGGTTGGGGCCGTGGCTTGTGACTGAGCTTTGCAGGGTGGTTTTTAGGCTCAGCTTCTGCCCGACTTGCAGTGGGGGATTGCAGAAGTCCTCAGAGGCTACAAAGAGTTGTATGAGGCTTCCTGAGAGCCTTTCGTACTTGATCGGAATATAGATGTACCACTCACTGGAGGTCCCAAGGGCAATAAGAGTGATTTCTTTTCTTGCAGGTACTGGAAAAAGCACAATTTTGAAGGAATTGCCCTAGTAGAAAGAGCTCTGAAAGATGCTTACGGTTCCAGTGCACCAAGCCTGACCTCTGCTGCTTTGCGTTGGTTGTACAATCACTCCAAACTGCAGGTAAGGGGCTTGACGCGGCTGTAGCCGGCAGCCTGTGCGGCACCACCGGCATCGGGCAGCTGCTGTGGCACGCAAATGGGGAAGCGTCTCCGCACAAAGAGTTGTCTTTTAACCTGACTATGCCGTGGGCTTGTGGCGTTCCCAAGTGAATATTGCTGTAGGGACTCTGCCTGCCAGGCTGTAGGAGTGAGTCAGCTCTGCATTTCCCCACGGTATCCCGTGTTCGTAGGATTGGCAGAAATGGAAGATTTTAAGCGGCAGTTACTGGGGTCTTGGCTTTCCACCCAGCGAGCTTCCCTGCAAGGGGATGACTTTGCTTTTCGCCAGACTGGGAAATTAATGGTTATATTCCCCATCTCCTCCCAACATTCCCCTAGCCCCCCACAAAGTAGGATTTGGCGGCTTTTGAGGAGTTGGCGTGACTTGGGGATGTTCTGGCCTTGTGACAGAACTGTGCGGCGTCAGTTGTCCAAATGTCCAGGACTTACTGGATGTTCTTTACTGGAAAGAAACGTTTAAAGCTTGGCCTGCGATGGCGTGGGAGGTGACCTACGTTTCTTTTGGCATCAGCAACTCCTCTTCCTGCTTTCCAGGGTTCTCTTGGAGACGCAGTGATCATTGGGATGTCCAACTTGGAGCAGCTAGAGCAGAACCTTGACTACAGTGAAGAGGGTCCCCTGCTGCCAGCTGTCGTGGAGGCGTTTGATAAAGCCTGGAACCTGACTGCACACGACTGCCCCAACTATTTCCGCTAGAGACTAGGGTAGGGATGAGAAAGCGGGTGTCGTGGGGGTGGATGATGGAGCACAAGTCTCTCCAAGCACGGGAGAGGTACTTACCCACCCTGCTCCTTTGATCGACCTGTAAATGGGTTGTGATTTTTTTTTCCCCCCTGTATTAATGAAGCTTTGTAGGATCCACTACCACTGCCGGCACTTGTCGTGTTGGGCCATGCCTTATTCTTTCTCCTCTCATGGACCTTCAGCTCTGCGCAGCACCCACTACGATTTAAAGGTGCAGTTGATCGGGGAAAACGGACACATAACTGGATGAGGGCCCCAGTTCTGCTTTAATAGGATCTTAAATAATGACGTGCAAGAATAAAACCTTTTCCTAACACAGACCCTATCTATCTCTCAACTCTAGCTATAACCTGGCTGGCATCTCCTTACCAGCGCTTGGTGACTTTAAATAGCTTCTTCTGAAGCTTTTATCCGAAGATAAGAACAAACCCTCAGCACCTTCCCCAGTGTCGGGCATGCCACGTCTAAGTTGCATTACACTTCCAGGCTTTCTGCCTAGCTTTCATGTTTGAGGTGGCATTTCCTCAGACCCTGGGGTACTCGAACAGTAACAGGCATCAGCGACAACCATCTGAAGTTTTAGATACAGATTTATACAAAAAAAGCATAGTTAGGTCATCTTTTATGAAGAGCACGTTTGAGCTGATCACCCTTGTCCTCTGGGTGCCGACAGGGAAGGGAAATGTCCTCCTCTTCTTGACTCTAAAATAGAGTACAACCGTCCAGAGTCCAAGCACAAGGACTGCTGCTAGTCCTCGTTGCTGTCATCATCGTCGCCATCCTCCTCTTCCTCCTCCTCCGCCGCCGCTGTGTCTCCCACAAGCTTCTGGAAGTCTCCCGTCTCAGAATTCCACAGAAATTTGATGGTGACTTTAAACTCCGCCATCTCGTAGCCAAAGAGTTTCTAGGGAAGGACACAAATCTGTCTCCGCCGTCACCGTGGCCAGCCTAGCGAAAACACTTACGGTAAATAAAACGCTTCCACGGGAACGGCAGCAAAGCAGGAGCCAAAAATAATCGCTGCCTTAGAGCTTTAGCAGAGTTTGAGCACTCGCATTAGGAACGTGCAAGGATGTTCGCTGCACCCCACTGACTGATACCCCAAAGTACGGCTCACCTTCGTCCCAGAACTCGCGCCCTCCAGCGGGATTAAACTGAAAAGTTGATTATTTTGTATCGGGGGGGGGAAGGGGGGGCTTGCGCAGAACGCTGCGTTACGTTACCCACCAGGACGCGGGCTTGTTCGGGGGTGAGAACGTCCCCTTCTTTGCAGACTTCGTAATCTGAAAGCAGCGTCACCACTCCTGCAGGAACAAAAGCTCTCGAAATAGGCTCACAGATACTGGATAAGCCCGCCGAAACGTGCAAATATTCTACGCAAATATTAGTACACCCCAAGGAGCTGGGTGAGATCAACTAGAAAAAAAACCCAAAACCAAATCTGGTCTCTCAGTGGGCTGGGCTAGGCTAGGCCTAGTCATTTCCACAGAAAAAGGACAGTATCTTGTAGAAAGTCGGTTGTTCCACTTGTCCTTTGACATCAGTCTGGGAAGAACGGCGCAAAAAGAATATAATGAGTTCTAGCACCAGCCGACCAAGGAGAAAATTGTCCATCTGATCTTCTCCCAAACGAAATCCTACTCCATTATTTAACGTTCTCCTTAAAAGATCTTATCTGCGTAGACGAAAGATGCAGCTTACCTTCTCGGCCGCTTCACGTACCTTTCTTTAAGGCCGTTGGCAATCCCAGCTGCCGTAACTGAGGCTCCATGGAGTGGGGGAACTGCTCCAAGGGCCCCGTGTCCAGGTTGACCGTGTACGTCGCCTTGTTCCCCGCGCGGGCAAAGTCCACCTCTTTGAATTTGGAGAACCACCTGCGACAGAGACGGGTAGCGAGAGCTTTAGCTGCAGAAAGAACGGGGATTGTGGCATAGCCCGCCGCAACTTCTTCCCCGCTGTTGCAGGGATGGCAGAGAAAGACGAGCTGCGACGCCTCGTGAGACGTCAGCAAGTGAAGGGGTCAAGTGGAGGAAAAAAAAAAAGGAAAGGCTGCTCAGGATTTCAAAACCGCGGCTGTGACACGCGCGTACTCACTCGTCCACCTCATCCCTGGTGGGGTTAGTGAAGAGGAGACCAACTTCACCTCTCAGGTGCTTGCTGACCTGAAAGAAAGCGGCCGGCCGTGGGACTCGGGCAGCACCCGGGGACTTACCTTCTAGGGTTCAGCCCCGTACAGCCGTGAAAGCCAACAACAGCGCTTTTGTGTCGCGATAGGGGTGGATTCAGCTAAAACGCCCGCAGGAAGGTGACCGGCGGGAGCTCTGTCGTCCCTCGACA